AAGAGAATTACAAATACTTCTAAAGATCAAAGTATCATATATGTATGTATACATTACATACATATATACTTAATATAATAAAGTATATTATTGCATTCACATAACTATTACTTCCCAGAGATAATTTTTGTTGTGTCAGAATATTAAATAAAATTTTTTCTCAGCCAATTTTACTGCTGCTAACTGCAGTGAAAAGCACAGACGTTGGTTTCTCATTAATTCTATATAACAGCAAACTTTTACCCTTTTGCCTGCTTCTCCCTATTTCTTTTCCCTTTTCTCATCTACCATCCAACTTTTAATTCCTATGATTTTGGCCCTGGTTTTAAGCTTCCACATCAACATAAGCTTGTGCAGTATTTTCCTTTCTGTGCCTGGCTTCCTTAGCATAATGTCCCTCAGGTTTATCCTTTTGTCAGAAAGGGAGGCAGTTGCCTTTAAAGGTTGGAACATGATGAATATATGTCAGAGAGCCATAAATAACCAAGGCAAAGAGAACAAGAAAGTACAGGATGCCTGGCCCCAAGTGGGACATCTGTGTCACATCACCTCACAGTGATTATGAAGACATCCCACAGTGTACATAAAACCTGCCTCTGCAAGCCCCAATCTGGAAAATGGAGGTAGACAGGAAGTCTTACCTCTAACTGAGGATCTATTGGGAAATGATAGCTGCTGGAGGAGGGAGAAGCTGTTTTCTCTAAGAGTACAGATACCAGTTAGTGGATAACAGTCGTGGAAGTCCATGCATCCAAGAACATATGGGCAGTAGAAATTGGATTTAATTAACTTAAAAAAAATACAAGAACACAAAGGTGAGTGAGCAGAGAAGGAATTTGGATATGGGAGAAATTTGTTGGAAGGGACTATAACCAAAACATATGAAATTTTCAAAGAACACACACACACACACACACACACACATATATGCATATGTAGAGGTATTAACACACACATATATAGTATATTCATAGGAAATGTTAAATTGTATTGAAGACAAACATATATTTATACACTGCTAAAACTGACTCAAACATGGGTAAATAATTATGGAAGGTTGGTTACATTGATTCAGAAACATCTAGAGAGATTCAATACAAAATTGAAGTTCATTGTTATACATTTGGGAATAAGTTCAAAGTAGCTTCAAAGCCATAGGACTCTCCACATTCCCTGTATCACAATTCTTGTTTAGTGTTTTGCCAAGTAACAAGGAAAAAAGAAATGAAGCTTAAGGTCTCTCTGATAATTTTGATCTTTGAACCATAATCAAAGTGAGAACTTTAAATACATGAATTAATACCAATTTGCATCTGTGATATTTTTAGACAAAGGTTCATTCGGTAATGTCTTCATTGTATATCCAAGAAACATTTAAGGGAGTTGTGCATGTAAAAACTTCAGAATGAAACACATCAAATCAAACCAAACTCATTTTCAGAATAGCTTTTGGTTTATTTTTCTTTAAAAGAAATATTATAATTTGTTTGGATGTTGGAGGCTATAACTTTAGGTTGAAATACATCTGTAATCCTGTACTTGAAAATCAGGTGTATTTATGAGACATAGACAGCGAATCATTAGCATCAATGAGGCATTAGTTTGGTCCCCTGTCAAATATGTCATTTCTATGTGATAGATGCATAGCAATTAAGTGGGAAAGTGCTTTCTTGGCCTTTGAATGTGGATGCATGGCTTAATTTTAGCATAAAAATTTGATCCTACTGCACGTACTGGCTTTGGGGGAGCCTAGACAGTTTGGATGCTCACCTTACTAGACCTGGATGGAGGTGGGTGGTCCTTGGACTTCCCACAGGTCAGGGAACCCTGATTGCTCTTTGGGCTGATGAGGGATGGGGACTTCATTGGGGGAGGGGGAGGGAAATGGGAGGCGGTGGCGAAGAGGAGGCAGAAATCTTTAATAAAAAAAAGAACAGTAATGCATTTAAGTGTGATACATATTTGAATTTATTTTGTACACATATTAAGACTATTTGTAAAATTATCAGTAATAATCAGTTCTAAATGGACTGAATTTTATTGTGTTCAGACAATTGCATAAATTGTACCATTGGTTTTCTCTGTTGCTTCTTCTTGCTCAAACTAAGAGTTTATATATTTTAATAAAGAATATACCAATAGCCTATTAATTCTTCATTTTCATTTCTCTCTAATTTTTTCTTATTCATAGTATGTATTTCTTTTATGATCTCTACTGGGATATTTCAGAAAAACATAGGGCATCAGGCTAAAAAATGTCCTTCTACTGTAGATTTTGCACATGTGAAGCACACAACAGTTGATCTTGTTAGGTCAAAAACATCTATACTCCTTTATCTTAAGGCCATGTACATTTGTAAGAAATGGGTGCCAAACTGCCAATATTATTTGCTGTAACTAAAAGGCATTTATAGGTGTAAATAATTCAGTCCTTCTTATGGACATGAGAACTTCCCAATCTTACTTGATACAAAGTGGAATATGTGTGAAGTATACTTTTCCCCATTTTATGTCCCTGGCAATGGTGTCTTCATATTGCCCTAGCATCTCTCTTCAGTTCATCTTTTCAGTAGGAAAACAGACAAGTATGCAATACCCCCTGCCCCCACCAGCCTAGCGCCTAATCTTCTGAAAATATTAAAGAATTAGTAAACAACTCAGACAAGTTAACTGGATACATGTCGTGTTGCCATGGTCTCTCTCACGGGGTCTTAACTTCCTTTCATGCTTCAGACGAAGATAGTGAATTTTGATGATTTTCTCTCAGGATCCTATGCCTTAGCCATCTCAAATTAGAGTTCATAGAGTTAGTTACCTCTTAGAAGTCTTATAATATCAACTACAAAATTATTCTCTAAGTAGCTTTACATATTTTTGCTTTCCAACTTAAAAAATAGCTGATAAAACATAAAAGAAGTTAGTATTAAAGAATTACTGCGTAATATCTGATGCTTGTGTTTTGAGTGTTTATTCTTATCTGTGGCTCATTTCTTCAATGCTACTCATTTTGTTAAGTTGGTAAATAACAAAGCCTCTATCACCCATGCCCCAAGGCTGTGCAGTAGGAACTTCTTTACTTGATGTTCCCTTCTTTCTCAGAGTATATACATCAGCTCTCCCGATCCTCCTTCTAGACCTCAGGAAAATGGAGTCCCTTCATAGTAGTTTTGCACTTAGATTCTTTTTTCTTTTCTGGAACTTGCTAAAATAATATTTTAATTGATTTTCCCCTACATGTCTTAGTTCTTTATACTGGCATCTTTCTTTCAGCCATCAGCTATGCAAAGGGCTGACTTGAAAGAAAACCATCACTCTTGTATTGAACACTTTTCTAACCATAACCTGTGTCTCTTTCTGTTATTCACTCGACCTCATGAGAAAAAAAACACAAGCTTGGTTACGGAACCCACTGGACCCATGAGATGGGCATAAGCTATAACTCTGATGATTACTTACAGTCATCTAGCCTGCTCTAGCTATATGTTCCCTGCCATTAGTGTCAGTCCAGGGACAGGACCCAGTAACTCCCATGTGTTTGATTTCCTTTTTTCAGTGCTTAGTCGTCTTGGTAAAAGGTGGTATGTTCTTTTGGAGATGGTTATGATAAAGACTATAAATTTGGGTCAGTGTAGCAGGATTTTTGGTCAAGTAGATCTGTATTTTCTCTTATTTAAATCTTTGGAGTTGTAAATTGAATCAAGTATGGGAACTGATAGAGCAGCCATTGCTATGCTTTAATAGGTCTAAGTAGACACTTGGTTTATCTAGCCTGGAACTTCTTCATTCATATATATCAAATAAGAATTTAACAAACTGTCCATTTGCCTCCCTTCTAAAACTCCTTGATCAACAACGAGTGTTTTAGGTCTCTGAGAATCAGACCATTTTTTATCACTATTTTGATTTTGTTTTCCATATGCTAAACATATATGTCTTGTCTTTGGTAACTAAGACCTGTCATGTGTGTCCCAGTTCCACTTGTCCTTTTTGCCTTTAACAATCCCGGTTCAGGGATGTTATTGAACTTAGTCAAAGACTGTATTTCCAGCGAAAGGAAGTTGTCACCCGTATCTGACGGTTCAACGTAAATGGATGGATAGAAAGAAAAGGTTCTTCTCTTTTACAATGTACTTTTTGGTTTTTAAAGATTTTTTTAACCAGTCACAATACTAGAATTGACTTAGAAACAGATCCCAGAAGCTTCACTCTTTGAAGTATTTCTCCTGTTATGTTGTGTTTATGTTAAAATCAAATTTTTTATATATTCACAAGCAGATAAAATCTGGGAATAGTTCCACTATTTAGTATTGTGTTCTTTTTCATCATGGTGATCACACTGATTACATTAAATGCTTTCCCCTTATTTTGCTGAATTCCAGATTATTTAATATGTTTTGTGCATGTGTACAAGGTTTATATGGTAGTATCTGTCCAGCCATTCTAAATTGGAAAATATATATGGAAACTAAATGAAGATTTAATGTACATGATAATAATTTATACTCTTATTCAATAAGGTGCCTCACACTTAAGCAAAAATAATTAGGGCTTTCATTATCTAATAATTGCCTACTAATTGCTTTCAAGGGACTAGATCAGTTTTTAATGGAAGTGGAATTATTTCACCCCGCCATAACATTTGTGGTGTCAATACTAACGATTTTCATATTTTCCTTGTGTAGTTAAAAATGTGATCTTGTTAATAATAGTTCTTTATCAGGGATAATAGTGACCATTACTAAACTGACAGGATTTATTTTCTGTTTTTCATCTCACTAAAAAGTGATGCCAGCAGGAATGTAAGAGTATTGTCAATGTGAAGTCAAATAATTTATTACTCTGAATATTTGGACACATTTATTTTAGTTTCTCTTTTAACTCAATATTTGATAATCTAGCAGACTAAATATCTAAATAGTAGGTCATATTAAAGCTTACTTTTTGAAATTGAGAATATGTATACATATATTTACTTTATTTCATTTTTCCTTACTCTATAGAGAAATGATGAAGAAGCAGTTGTGGATAGAGGTGGAACACGTTCTATTCTCAAAACACATTTTGAGAAAGAAGATTTAGAAGGTGAGTTATTATTTTGGTGGCATAGTTGATATGCCTAATCCATAGGCATTACAAAGAGAAATGTAAAATTTTCAGTTGTGAAAAATGGAAAATGTTGATATTAAAGTAATTATGGTGTGCTGGTGTGATGTAGATATGATTTTTTGGTACAGTGTTGGATGCCAACAGGCAGACCTGAAAATGGTGAGAAGCATTTGTTTATGCACAGATATTTGTTCGATCCATCCAATATTCTAGAGACTGTTGCCATCTTTTCTATAAAACCTGTTCCAAGGAATTATACTTAATTACATAATGAAAAGAAAATGTAAAAGGAGACTATGTTTTCATTTTCTGTCCTCCCAAACCCAAATAATCACAAAAAACTATATTAATTACAACACCGTTTGGCCAACGGCTCATGCATATGCCTAGCTAGCTCTTACATCTTTAATTAACCCATTTCTATTATTTTATATTTACCATGAGGCTCATGGTTTGTTACTTCACATCTTGCTTCTTGAGTGGCTACATGGTGTCTGCCTGATTTTGCCTTCTTTCTTCCTGTATTCAGTTAAGTTTTCCTGCCTAGTTATATTCTGCCCTGCCACAGGATAAAGCAGCTTCTTTAATAACCAGTGGTAATAAAACATATTCACAGCATACAGAGAGGAATCCCACATCAATAAAAATAGATATTCGTATCATATGAGATATGCTAGGACAAGAAGATTGTCAGAGCAGGTTCTCAAGAGCAGAGACTTAGGACAGTTGGTTTTTGATTCAGGTAGCAGAATGAGAAAGAAACTCCATTTCTACGTGTTGTCTTCAATGAGAAGGACTGATAATATAGTGGACACGGTAGAGTTTAATCGTACACACTCTAACAGCAGACTGCATAGGTTCAAATGCCAGGTCTCTCCTTTCATTAGCATAGGGCCTTAAGTTAACTTTCTGCTTCTCTGTTCTCTCAACTGTTAGCACACTGATAGCAATAGGTATATCTTAAGGATTTTTAGAAACTCAAATAGAGTATTTCAAATAATACTTAGGAACAGAGTAGCATAGTATTAGCAATTATCACACTATATTTAATGCTTATGCAGAATTAACTTTAATTTTTAATGTTTTAACTTTGATTTTTTTCTTGTCTTAGATATAAGGTATATAAGGCTTGTTATTTGAATGAGAGGTAAAACTTAGGTAGTCTTAAGTAGAGGTAATCATAACTAATTATCCATTGAGTGTTTTTCAATTTAAGCATTAAAAAGCACAATATTTTTAAATTTCACATTGCAATAAAGCTTTTAAATTTTAGTTAGTTTAAGAGTTTTTGAGTCTTATCTTTAGTTTCACTAATTCTATAAATTGATAGCTATAGCTGATATAATATTTGAAAACAACTTTAATCAACACCAACATTGTTGATAATACACATTATCTATTGAAGATATTTTGTATGGCACACAGAAAATAATATCCAAGTCCAAGAATGTTGACCAAGGTTTCTGTCCTACCAGGTCCTGCAGTCATTTAGTCCCAAAGAAACACACAGAGGTCTACATTAATTATAAACTGATTGGCCTATTAGCTCAGGCTTCTTATTAACACTTATATTAGCCCATAATTCTTGTTTGTGTTAGCCATGTAGCTTGGTACCTTTTTTGGCAAGGTAGTCACATCTTGCTTCCTCTGTGTCTGGATGATTGCAGACTGTGACTTTCCTCTTCCCAGAATTCCCCTGTTCTCCTTGCCCCACCTCTACTTCCTGACTGGCTACTGGTCAATCAGCATTTTATTAAAATACAATAGACAGGGTACAGACCATTGTTTCACAGCACCCCCTCTTTTTTTTTTTTTTAAAGCAAGAACTCTGAATCAAATCTGCTTTGATGAGCTTTTCTCCTGGCCATTATCTGTAACAACTTGTAACCAACATTCTAAACAAAGGCAAACATCCATAATTCATTTTTTCATTGCTACTTCATAAATGTAATTTTGCTACTGTTATGAATTGTAATGCAAATATCTGATCTGCAACTCCCAAACACTTCACAACCCACAGGCTTAGTGACTATAATTAAGTCATTTGTGATAAAAAATTACTCATAGAAACAAAAATGACATTACATAAAAATTTTTAATCGAAATATATTTTCAATTTTAAAATTGAAAAAAGTCTTATTTATATTGACTTATTTTTCTTATCCTCCTAACACACCAAAAGGCAAGCACCTCTGCTATTAATTGGTTTATAATTCACACACAGGCTTATAAGATCTGGATGGACCTGGAATTAGGTAACATAGGAGTGATATGCAGGATGATGTAGTTTAGGAGTAAGTGTGAGAGTACCTGTACTGGGAAGCAACACTGAAGTTATAGAGGTGATGGCTACTTCCTTCGTGTAATGGAAAATAATATGACTTTAAGGAGCATATTTAGTGGTGCAGATAGCACAAATGTTTTAAATGGAAGAGAATTAGGACCCATATTGGAGACAAACACACTTTATAAATAGAAATATTTTTAATTAAAATTTCTCTATCTGAAATTTGTTGTTTCCTAGGATTTATGTGTATCTTAGTTACTAGAATAACTAGCATAATTTAGCATTCTGAGTGCAGCTAGTAGAAATGCCAGGTGTATAAAAATATCTTTGAAATCTCAGGTACAATATATTTAGTGGAAAATAATCACCTTCTCAACAACAACAGCTTGAAGTAATGTATTAGCTATTTATTCACATATATTATGCATTCTGATGAGTGACAACAATTGTAGAACTTTTTTGCTGTCCAAACTGTTTCCTTTGTTTGTTTCGTGCGTGTTTTGTACCATTTCTGTCTTTTATTATCTAAAGCTAAGAGAAGTTTTATGTGCTTATTTTGTACCTTATATTCTTACTAAATCCTCAGAATTGATATTAGTGACATCTGTTTCCATTCCCACTGGTTTCCTCCGCTTGGTCATCTTCTGTTTACTGTCTGTTGTGTCTTTCCCACTACCCAGGCTCCTTAACACCACCAGCATGTTCTTTCTGGGCATTATTCTGCTTCACGTGTCAGTGCCTAGTGAAGGGTGTCGAATCTCTATTGCTAGATAATCTTGGGATTATGATTAAAGCAAACATCAATAAAAATTGAGATTAAGCGATTTTTACTTTTTCTCTTCCATATCAGTGTGGGATTAGTACAGTCTGAAGTGTGAGACAACAAAGGGAAAATACATTGAAACTTTGTTATTTTATTTACCTTCTAATATATTTATAATAACCAGTTAAATTTGAATTTTGTGTAAATATTGTATGTTTAAATAATGAATGATGGTAATAAGTACAACAATGATATGTTTTCATTTATTATTTCATATTTGTTAAATATGTATATCTCTAGTACTGGTTATTAGGATTACCCATTAATACATCCCTTTAAAAACTGAGGTATAGGCTAGTGAGATGAATTTCGTGGGTAAAAATGGTTACTACCAAGTCTGATGACTTGGATTGGAGCCACAGGACCCAGTAGGTAGATGGAGAGAACCAGTTCCCACAAGTTGAACTCTGTCTCCACACATTTGCACCTGAAAGACAAATAAATGCATACATGGACATAATAAAAAGAGAACTCAGTCATTTATTTCCTTGGTTGTAGTAGCTTTGCCTTCTAATGGCTCACATCTGAGTACCTTGTTGTCACTGCTCTCACTGTGAGGAGTTGACTGTTGCCTACGGAGGCAGCCTGCCCCATGACACACTGGATAAATGAAAGAACAAAAGTACGGAAGCTGTCCTGAAGAAGCCCAGTCAGTTGATCCTTCTTTCTTAAAACATGGACTATTCTGATGTACTACCCCTGCTTCAGGGTTTACCCACAGGATTAAAGGGGCCTGCTATTGTAGGTAAAGCATTATTTGGCTTCCTTCAGTATTAAATTGTGTGTCCTAATTTTCTCAAAGGTGTTATTGCTGACTCTCAGCAAACTCTCTGAAAACAAATATCTATCTAAGAACACTTTTTCCTTCGAGCAGTCCAACCTGCCCATTGAATATTCCCTTGAACCTGTAGTTTTAAAACATAAAGTTGTCAGGTTGTTTTGTTAGCTTATGTGGTTAAGACTTTTTATATCATAATAGGTGTTGGCCTGTTCTTATCTAACATAGTCCATACTCATGGCCTGTTCCTCCTGTGGCCCTACTTAACGTGATGAGTCCATATGCATGACCCTACTCTGCCTGCACCTTCCCCCATCCCCAGACCTAGACCAGGTCCTACATCCAATGCACCAGCTGTGTCTGAGGAACCCTAGTACACTTTTGCCAAACTTCAGGCAAGGGTCAGGTTTTATATTCTGTGCACCAACCAAGCCCAGTATACCCCACCCCAGTTTACCAGTCTTATAGTAAAATTGTATTATGAGAGCTACCTAGATGAATACCAGAGCACAGAAATTCAAAGAACAATAAAAAACTTCATAAAAAAATCCAATAAATTTAGAGGACACCAGGAAACAGGTCAATGAACGTAAAAGGAATGAACTTAAAGCAGATGCCTGGGTAATGCTCAAGATAGAACAAACTGAAGGCTAAATAAAACAATGAAGACAGTACAGGAATTGAGAACTGAATTCAATAAAGAGATAGAAATATTGAAGAGTGTTCAACCTGGAATGAAAATGGAATTGAAAACCTCAATAAACCAATTTGAAAACTCAACAGAAATACTTGCACGTAGACTGGAAAAAGGAGCTAGAATATCAGGACTCCATGATAAAAGCAGAGAAATTAGACCACATAACAAAAGAATATGAAAGATTTTAAAGAACACCAGAAAGGAACTGGTACATGAGCTTCCAGAAGCCATGAAAATGTAATATCTTCAAATTATAGGCATAGATGTGGGGAAGAATCTCAAGTTATTTTCTTAGACTACATTTTCCACAAGACCCCCCCCCAATTCTTCTTCATACTAAGGAAAGACATATCCATATTTATACAAGAATCACACCAAACCAAATATACAA